GGCTATTTTGAAACACAAGGTGAATAAATCTACAAAACAGACAAGTCATATTTTTTTTAGATAATATCTGCAATTGTTTTCTTTGGAGATTCGTTGAAAGTTCGCTGGCGACTTTCACTTTTCCAAAGTGCGAACTGGGGTCGCATGTTGCTTGCAACACACGAAACTAATTTGAACCGCTTTCAAATGACTGCTTACAAATTAATCCCAATCAGACACACACACAGATACACACACAGATAGAGATACATTTACAGATACAGATACAAGTGGCGCCAATTAAAATGATTAACATTTCTAGAAGAGTGTTGGATTAAAAGTGTCGCCTTTTCGGCATAAAATAAACAACAATAATAAGGAAAACTATTTCAAATAAATAATACACACACAGAAGCACACTTGTGTGCGTGATAAGACAAGTGGACAGACAGCTGAGAAGGTTTTTAACGCATAATTGATGTGATTGAGATTGATTGCTTATTTGTTTTTTATTTCTTGTCTCTCCTGCTTGGCTTGCTTTGATTGAAAGCCAAAGCCAACTACAAAAAATGAATAGAAACAAAAAGCCGGCGCCAGAAATTTGTGCCCATTGGCATTCGGCATTCGGTTGGGAATGCGTGAGCGAGTGCCGACCGCTTTCGGCTTATCAATATTACATTTCAGTTTCAGTTTTTATGATTAGACGATTTGTTTGGACAATGGCCACACATTGCCACATAAATACATACAAACACACACACACACACACACACACACAGATACTGGACAGCTTTTCGGGGGGCTTCAAAAGCAATTTGTGTGTTTAGTGTCAAATTTTATGGTAAGTCTTTCGTTCTTTGTGCGCGACCCGGTGCTTTGTATTTCTATCATTTAACGGGCAATCACTCATACGACCCGTTGTACCCGGCGACTTAACGATTGCCACCGTCCGAAAAGCATTTAAGTTGGCCGAGATTAGAGCACGTTTAAAGGCATCGGAAATGGTCAGCAAATGCCAGCTAAGTGCCCGACTTTTGGTTGGCTTTAAAACACATTTGGAACAGGACAAATGTCTGCCAAATGAATTAATTAAGCAAACTAACATTTGCCTATCATGTCTGCCAGTTGCCAGCAGAAATTCTCATTTCATTCAGCAACCATATGAACTAATCATAAATTAACAACTCTATGTTAGTTTAGCTCTTTTTTCCCCCCCTGACAGTTATCAGCGTTCATATTAATATGATTATTTCTTTATTAATTTATTGGTTAATTTGTTGCCGCATTTTACGATTATTGCAGTTGGTGTCTCTCGGCTCCCCCGTTCGATAATCGCAGTCCATAATTTGTATATTTTTTTTTTTTTTGTTTCGTCTCCCCACTGAAAACGGGTTATTATTTTGCATTTAAGCAGTCGTTTCACAATTCATTACCATAGTTACTGCCTCGCGTGCATTTAAATGGATTCATTGAGACCCGCTCATTCAATTTGTACGTACGTAAGCATTTAGCATGGAATCGGCGTTGGAATGGGGTTTACTTAGGCGTCAATAGCTCGATTGACGCTCCGACAATTTTATTGATAAATGCCTCTTAGCAGTCGCTTCAAAAGAAAAACAAACAACAAAGCAACAAACCAAATTGCCAATAACAATAAAAGATGGTCATATTTTAATTATTATTTTTTTCTGACTGTTCTTAGTTATTTTTTCGCCGCATGGCTTTTATTTATAGTTAGCTTATTAACGAAATTGATCGTTAAAAAATTACGAGTGCCATAAAAATGCCATACAATTCGAGTATTCCCTCCTAATCAAAAATGCTAAATACTGTATACTCATTCATTATTGATAATGCGCCTAATCGGGTTTTTATCTCAACAATTTCGAGTGCCATACACTCGGAAATTTGCGGAATCTGTATTATAATATTAACCAGATACATTTGCTTGGATTAGGTCTAACCTTTAACTTTTGACTGGAACTGAAAAAGGGTTGGATTTTTACCAATTTACTGCTAAAGTTAGCTGAACAGAAAGATCTATGCATCAGTCATAAAGTTGCAAGACAATTGTTGTTTCATTTAAATTGCGATCCACTGTGCACCTATCTGTTACCTGTCGTTGTTTCTTTAAACGCACCCACACATACAGAAATACACACACACATATACACACTTGTATTATTCCGAGAATTAATTAACACTTTAGGCGAAAAGTATTATGCAGTATGCACGAAAAATTAACATGACAGCTCTAGACATGGCAATTTATCACTAACATGCTGGCCTCTGCTATTCATTGTTGTTGTTGTTGTTGTTTCTGTCTTTGTTTTTGCCGTTGCCGTTGCTGTTGTTGTTGTGTTGTAGTTGTGCTCTGCTGTTGATGACACTTTAATTAGAGCCACACGCAAACACACAAAGCTGAGCCACTATTACTACAACCACCACGACAGCCAAAACTCGAACCGAACTTCACCAAAAAGGAGGCCACAAACCCAACTCAGCTGAACTGAGCCGAGTTGAGCGTAGCTGAGCTCTCTCTCTCTCTCTCTTGGAGCGAGAGCGGGAGTTGTGTCAAGCGCACACTTTAGCTGCCAGAGTTGCCAGCTCAGCTGTGAGCAGACTCTTAACTGGCAACTGTAAACTGCTGACTGTTGACTGCTCAAACGTTTTTATAGTGGGGGGGGGGCTTTTGACTCTGATGGCAGCATGTGGTTAACTGAAATGAATGTCTGACTGCATAAATGGCTGCTTGACTGACACATTTAATTATATTAATGATGTTTGCGGTCAGCTGACATTTGCACTTTATTTACTTTTTACAAGCCGCTCAGTTCAGTTCAGTTCAGCTCAGCTCAGCTCGGCTCAAGTTAGCTTGTCGCCTGTCACTTTAGCTGACTGGAGTCTGAACAGAACTGACTTTCACGTAGCTGTTACTCATGTTTTGAGTTATTACCCAACACGGGGCATATTAGTTTCCATTTTGTGGCAGTTGCCAGCGCTTCATAATTTTTCAAATGTGACAGCAAATTATCAACAGTAATTTTGTGGCAAGTCAGCCATAATTTTAGTCGTTTCTTATTGTTCGGGCGCCACAAAAACAAACGATGACACTGACAGCTGTCAGGCTTAGTTTATTTGATTTTATTATAATTAATAGCGGGCAGCTATCATTAATCATTGAATAATTTATAGACATTCGCGCGCAGTATTTACATATGTATATAAATGCATTAAGTGTATGCCAAAATACAGCCAAAAGGGTTACTCAGTCGACTTGGAAGTAAATAAATTTACTTTAAGTGACAGGCTTATAAATTTTAAATCGTGAATAATTAATATGAATAATGACATTAAACGCTTCAAAAGTTGTTTCCATTTGTTTTATACACCTGCAAAGATTGCATACCTACATACATATTTACTAGATCATTTAATAACAACTTAAAATGCGAAAATGTTCCACTGAAAAGCGTTTTTTTTATTTAAATTGGAATTGGAACAAATATATCATTTACAATATTCTGTTGTTGAAACCATAAATAATATTTGTTTCATTATATTTGCTTCTACTAATGTAATAAATTGAGTGCTTAGTTGCATTTGAATGAATACACTCATGAATGCGAAACTTGCTTCCGTTCTTGTGCGAATATTTACTCAGAAATGAAAATGAAAATTTATGTGCTTTAGGACTTTTGGGAAGCGGAGAGTCTTTGACTCTGATTAACTGCCATAGTTGCTCGCTTTTAGTTTTGTGTGTTTGTGCGCTGCATTTGCGAAATTGCATTTGTTTTCTGTCATTATAAATTCAGATTTGGTGCGCCATAAATTTGAATACAGTTTACAGAGGTGCCTCGCATCTAACTCTACTCAACTCGGCTAAACTCAACTCACTTTAACTTCACCCCACTCCATTCCACTCGACTCGACTCGGGAGAGCCGTACACACATATTTACATAGTTTAATATGCACAAACATAAATAAGTTTTATGTGCAGATATTGGGAAATTTATTGTGCTACGATTGCGAATTTTATACACATACAAATGTATTTGTTGCTTTCTCGCAGCTGCTCTCAGTAGTTGCCGATTTAAGCACAGAAGCAGAGAGTCTGACAATCTGACAGTCTGGCAATCTGGCAATCTGACAGTCCGGCAACCACTTTGAAAGGCGACATGTGGAGGAGTTGTTGATTGTTGTTGTGTCGCACAATAAATTCGCTTGCGGCGAGTGCCGTAATTGCTTTTCTGTCGACATTTCTATTATTTATGAAATATCATACGTTAATAAATAATGGCAACTAATTTTATTTAAACGCTAGCAGATACCTGGACAATATAAGCTGCCCATATCAGCTGGATTGTGATATATTGCGTGCAAGATAAACACAAGAATCTATTATTCAACAGAAAAACAAACAAGTCTCGCCTCAATTCGATATAAATTGTGACGTGCAAGTGCGAGTTAAATCAACATTTCAGCATAATTAATTGATAAAATACTATCAAAGTAAATACCAGCAAATACAAACTATATATGGAATGAATCTAGCTTGACAAATCTGAAATCTTTGTCAAAATATATTTGTTATTATTATACGATATATAAAGAAGAAGATCATACATCTAAATGCAGTAATATCTTATACTTAACAAATAAATAAAGGCTATTTATCTAATTGAATTTCAAATAAAAACTTATATTGTGAACAATATATAGATATATTTGTCTCAAATTTCTGCTAAAATTCTCAAATTAGCATGTTATCTTCGAAAAAGCAGAGAAAAAGACAGACATCTGCTTATAGATAGATCGAATAGTTAGAATATAGATAGTTTATGGGTTTCGGAATGCCTCCGTGACATAATTCCTGATTGGGTAGGATAGGGCCTAAAACGGATTATGTGCTAAGATCGGAGGAACTATAATTGGTAGCACAGTATTGGAGGAAAACATTATCAAAATCTTCAACCAATTAGCATTAAAGTTTCTTTTTGCGACCCTGTCTAAAACTTACCGCTGTCGGGGCTGGCGCCGTTGTCATATAATCCGGCCTGAGATAGTGATGATTGCTGGACTGCAGCATTTTGTTATAGTTGGTTAAATCCACTTTGACGGCTGTTCTTTGGTTTGAGGAGGAGCTGTTTCGGTTGAGAGCCAAGCACGGGGACAGTGCTGCCAGCTGCTGCGGGTCTCCTTCGGAAGACGTTGGCCCTGCCGTCGAGCGTGGAGCGAGGTGCTGCCAACTCGTGCTAAAAGCGGCGCCTGCGCTGCCTTCGATTAAGCCGTTAACCGTTAACCGTTAACCGTTGTGGCTCGTGATTTTTGAATTGCGGTAATTGTTGTTGTAGTTGTTGTTGTTGTTGTCGGGTATATTATTATTGTATTGTTGTTTATTTATAATTTATATCATTAATAATTCAATTGGGGTTTTTTGTTTTGCCGAGTTGTGACTTTCACGCCAGCGGCATATTAATTTTTATTATTATTTGCAGTTGCTGTTGTTGCTGTTGTTGTTGCTGGTGCCAGCTTAATTGTGTAATAAATTCATTAAACAGTATAATTGCAGCTGGTGAACATTTATTTTATGCTTTTATTTGTGCACGTTATAATTTCATATTTTGCGTTACGCGCCAAAAGCTGCGAAAATGCATTCATGAATACGCTCAACGCGTCGTTGAAGAAGAAAACAACAAGAATTAATTTTTCAGCTATTAAATTACTTTCTTTCTTTCTTTCTTTGGTTTTGGTTTTTGCGGTTTCGCCTGAATGCCTCGTTTAGGGCGTGTTTATGGCGAGGCACGTACGTGTGATTTTGACATATGCAGCATGTATGACAGGCGGCGGGGTGGCAGAGGGAGGGAGGAGGGAAAGACTGCGAGGAATCGACCTCTTTGAAAGTGTATCGAAGCGTAAATCACAAATGTTTCCTTTTTTTATTTTGATTTGTTGCAACTTGTATTTTTTTCGTGTGTATTTTTTTTCTTTTTTTTCGAAATAATACACTTTTCTAAGACTAAATGCGGGTCAGTCTAAGAATAAAGCACCTTGGAAAACATCACACAGAATATTAAAGAAATATTTGCACGTCAGTATGTGTGTACATATGTGTATGTAAGTAATTTGTTACGTATTTTTCTTGACACGCGGCACACGTTAAACAATTTCACACACTCCGTTCGCAATCCGTTCGCAGTGCACGTACGTACTTTAACGTGAAATAACAGAATTCGACTAAAAATCTATAAACAACATTCATACTCATTCATTTTTCGCTCCGCTCTCGCCATTGTAGTGGCTCGACCGAGTCTCAGTAGTTGCCGTTTTGCCTCTCGAGTCTCGTGTCTCGAGAGTGTAAAATAAGCGAAACGCTCGGGTACAGCACAACTTGTTCGGAAACCAGTTCAGTTTCAAGCATTTAATGTGTGTGCTTGCTCTCTTTGTTGTGGTCGTTTTCATTTTCAACAAGTGTGCTTTTGTTGTTGTTTGAGCGACAACAAAATACCATGCGCAGTGGAGAGAGAGGAGAGCATCGATGTGAGCGAGCGCACATTTTGTGGGGCTGGCGCTCTTTGCTGAGAGCGCATGCCTACTGCTGAGACAGAAGAGGCCTCACATCAAAAAGTACTCAATTGCATTTAGTAGTAGACAGATTCGCAGCATGCTGTCATAATAAACATGAAAGCGGAACAGCGGAAAGTAGTTTTACACGAAATACTTACACTGTGCTCACGTTATGTTATTTTTTAAAAGAAAATATAATTTATTAAAAAAACCGCAGTTGATTCTTATTAACCAAGAAAAATGTAAATACTTTTTTTTTCATTTTTATATTGAATAGTTCCAAAAGTAAATAATAAGACTAACATATATTCGATATTTGTTTTTTTTTTCACACACATTGTTTGCTGCCTCCATGCATAAATTCACACACACACACGCACACCAGTGTTGAAAAGCCGTCGCTTATTGGACGATCGACGCTTCTGTGAAGCCATTTTGGGATTTTTTGTTGCTCTTGTTGTTGTTGAGGTTGCGGTTGTGCTGGGTAATATTGAGCACAACGGCGTCGGCCATAATTGTTTACAAGTTGTGGTGAGCAGGTGGGCGTTGGAAAAATATGTGGTCAGATAAAACATTAGGTGCCACAAAGAGGCAGAGCGCGAGCATTGAGAGACGGCTTCGAGAGAGCCGTTTTGTAAGTTGGCGAGAGACTAATAAAAAGGCTGTCCGACACCAATTGGGAGAATCTTGTGTACGAGCTGTAAACAGAAAACAGCTGCTTGTTAATGTGTTCATTTTTTCACGGAATGGGGAAAATAGCGTAAAATACGTAATACATACATATATATTAGTTAATTGCTTAAATAAGCTGGAACCGTTTGCATTATTCAACAGGGTTTCGAGTAAAAAATCTACTAGAGTAAATATCTCTCCCTTTTCTGATTGGGAAAATAAATACATCGAATTATCCGTTACTACTAAAAATGCTTAAATACATATGTAGATAATTTTTAAGAAATGGCTTTTCAAATGAACTCTTACTGAGAGTTAATGTGAATCAGCAATCTGCATATTAAATGAATTTCAGAAAAAAAGCATTTAGCAACATGGCTTCAGCATTTTATTACAGTTCTTATGTTTTAATCCATGGCCAAACGGCAACTGGCGAAATCAAGGGACCATACAAATGCTAATGCCGGTGTCATAAACCGAACACCTACCTTTCAAAATCAACAGTAATAACCCAAAAGACAATACATTTGCCCAAAGCTGGGCATCGTAAAAATATCGTAAAGTTTTGGCTTTTAAATATACCGAAATAGGCGTTTATCATCTGATGCTGGCGCTTCTAATCAACGCCAAACATTTACATATTTACCTGGTCCATAGCCAAGTTTGGCCATTGTCCAAAACGCTTCTCAATTATTTATTCTTTAAATTAGTGCTATTATAAAACTCTTGTCTTCATCAGCACAAATTAAATGTGGCCATTAGAAAGCTTTTTCTTCGCTGACTAGGAAAATTAAGTAATAGTGCTCGATATTGATATGATATCATAGATGAATAAGAAGAAGTTCTTGATGAAATATTTGCATTCCTATTCTTTTGCTGAATTGATAATTAGTTGGACTTAACTAACACTCTTTAATTAAATATTATTAACTTAATTATTTTATTAAAAAACAAGTAAGAGGTTCTAGTCGGGAGCTCCCGACTAGGGGATACTCTGAAACCTCTTCTTTTAACAGCTGATAGGTATAAAATGAAAGATACTTAATATATATATACACTATTCTAGCAGCAACATGTCAAGTTTGTTGACTCTAGCTCATATTATTTACCAAAATTGCTAAAAAAAAACAGGATTTCGATATCGATTTTTATCGATTACTTGGAAACGGGGCCAGTTATCGAATAGCGCGGGCACTAGGAGGACCTACAGCCAAAATTTCAAGTCCCTAGCTCTTATAGGTGCTGAGATCCTTGCGTTCATACATACGGACAGACGGACGGATGGACAGACAGACGGACTCAGAGATGCTTCCTTTTGCCTATTACATACATTTGCACAAATACATTATACATTATACCCTCTTTGCCCATTTTCAATGGCTTCAGAGTATAACAAGGTTATCAAATTTGTGAATACTTGTAAATGATTAATCGCGCATTTCGCATAGATTAAATTAAATTTCTATATTACCAGCCAGAAAAGCAGCGACAAAACAATTGAGCTTTCAATTAAGTGCCGCATGTGCGTGTGTGCGTGTAGATTTCTGTGTGTTTGCCGACCACAAAATTAAGTGGCTAACTGAATTTGCGGCCACACACATGTGGGCAGCAAAAAAGGATTTGCAGTTGTCCTTTTGTTTTTGTGGCCGAAAAATCCCAAAAGACAAATAAGGGACTGGAGCCGGAAAACATTCTGGTTGTGTTTTTGTTAGCATTTTAGCAGTTCATTTATGCGGGCCCAAAAATCTCCAAGCACATAATTGACCGGAAAGGGCTCTTTAGGCACAAAACACAAATGCCCATCTAAGTGGATTATTGTATATTCTGTGCCGAACAGGCTACATAAAGATTCAAGTCCTTCACGTTAATTGTTTTGTTGCGATAGTGGATTTGCCATGCGTTCTTTTTACTAAGATCCTCCTTCTGTGCTCATAAATGACTTGAAGGCTTTTTCCGTGCAAGACTTGAGCTTATAATTGTAGACATTTGTTTTTTACCCAGTTCTCGCTCGTATAAAATTTAAATCTACCCGTACTATCTTGAACTCTGCGTCTATTTGAAAATATTTTTATATCGAATAAGGAACCAAAAGTTGGAATTTACGATTTGCTTCCTTTTTAGTCATTCGGCGAGAATCCAAAAGGCGAAAAATAAACTTTCGCCCATTAAACCATTGTCCCGCATTTTCCACCCAAATGTGATGGATTTTGCGAAAAAACGATCAAATAAATTTACACAAATTTCTTTAAAAATGACGCGTATTCATTATAGTCGAATGTAAATAAAATAAATAAAATCAAATAATTAATTAATCTGAGAAAACTTAAAACTTGGCCCAAAAAATCTTCGAATCATATTTTCCTCAGAGAAAGTTTAAGTTCTTGGATTCTTTCCAGCAAGCAGAAATGGATTTTCTGGAAATTAGTTAGCTAGTTAATTAATATCAGAGATTAGCTTCGATTTTTAGTAAAAAAAAACTGACTGATTAGTAAACAATTAGAGTATTTGAAATTTTTTGATTTTGGGGAACTTTTCTGTTCCTTATCCGGAAAGTCTATTCACCTTGGCGGCAAGGATATTTAATATATATAATAAAATACAAATATACATAATATAACTTTTTTTTTTTTTAAATTTCACCCAGAAGTGTGAAATTGCTGGAATACAATTTGTACGTGCTTCATTTGACAGATATATCGGGTACTAAGCTAGACAGAATTTGTAAAAAATTTGTAGAAAATGAGCGTGCCCGAGTTTATTCATTTAGTTAATACACTTGGCCTCATGTTTATTGTAAGGTATTACATCGTAGCTAAACTGGAGCTAACGTTTTCTTAAGTTTTCTTTTCTGTGCTCATGTCTCAGCGCTCGCAACGCTCGTTTACTTTTGCCCTCTTTGCACCCAAGCACATTTGGCCTTTTTTATGCCGAGATCTTTCCCCTTTGCCTGCCATTTCGCCGTGTTTGTTTGCCCACTTTCATGTTGTATGAATTATATGCGCTGCACACTTTTTAACCCTTGGCATATTTTACAAGCTGCCTTGCTGCCACATACTCTCTAATAAACACACAAACGCACTTATTGTTAGTGTAGTCTGTGTGTTTTTTATTTTTTTCTTCCAGCCTTTATGTCGTCGACTCAAGTGTACGGGCGAGTTCATAAATTTGCCCACTGGGGCGTATGAGTAATGTGCACGAAGTGTAACTTTCAGTCTGTATGTGATCAAAAAGGAAAAAGCTGTAGCCATAGGCCAGCAGGCCAGCACGCAACATATGTAAGCTACAATTTAATGCTTTTTTACTTAATACATTTTATTCTTAACTGTCATTTAACTATTCGTGCTTTCGTGCTTTAAAAGCTATGTTAGCTAAACAAAGTCGTGTAGTATCAGATGTAGCTGTAGGCAATCAACAATTTGTCAAATTTCATTTTCCAAATGGCCAAACCTCTTATTCATACTCGGACGTTTGTCCTGACTAACTGTAGTTAGTTTACGTTAACTCCGGGTTATGTGGGAAATCCTTTAAGCAAGTTAGGATCAATTCCAAAAACGGATTTATGTAACTTTGTGTAACTCTCTGTAACCACCCAAGTCCTCAAATTCATTTCCAAAGATCTTTGTTCAAACTCAATTGAGAGGTGCTGTCGCTCCATTCGCAAAATCTCTCCCTTCGTAAGTGGAAAAGGGATCAAAGATTTGGTGCGTGAAAGTTTCAGCTTCAGACTCATTTGCAACGATTTTTATTTTCATGCTGGATTTGGCGACCTTTCCATGTTATAATTTTTTTTTTTTTGGTTAGCTCGAGGTCCGGGATTTTTATTCGAGACAAAAATGAATTTTCGCAACATCCACCCCAGCATAAAAATACTGCTCAAAAGTTAAATGAACGAAATATTATGTTTTGGCTCAAGTTTCACCCCATGGTTATTTCAATTCTTGGCGGTTATCGGACCTAGAGCTTTTCCATTTCCCAGACTCTGGATCCACTTGGATCC